ACCTAGACCACAAAACCAGTTTGAATATGGCAGGTCATTGGAAAATCATTCAGTATTAACAACACTGTTACAATGCTTTCACAATGTTTACTAAAATAAATAGGTGGAATACTGTACACACTGTATAATCCTGTTTAACTGGGAAGTCCTACCCTTGATTTATTATATTTTAGTAATAATTTTTCGTTGCTACAAATTATAATCGTTGCATCATCTAAATATATTTTTCTACTTGAAAATTGCTTTCACTTATTAATACTTATAGGAGTGTTAATATAATAATTATGCTAGTAAAAGTAGCATTTTATTCTTGTTGCTTCCTTTCGATGAAATGTATTATTATCATTATTATTCATGCTGTTTAAAAATGTATTCCTCTTTTACTTATCATACAGCTAATGAGTTAAACCAAACTCCAATAACAGTGTTTTACACTTTGCAGATGACTTATGTCTGATGTCACACAAACTCAAAGATCTACAGGCCGAAATCAACAAGTTAGCTGAAGAGGCTGCAAGAAAAGACAGGATTTCAAGTGAACACAGGGAAGACAAAGGTAATAAAGATAACCTACCAATCACTTTCAACGGAAGAAATTCAAAAAAAGATGACTTCTTTCACTAATCTGGCCAGACAGCATCGTTTCAACTACAGCCAATGACAGCATAGATGACGATGTCTAAACCAACCAGTATCAGAAAGGTGAGACAGACCTTCATCGCACTCTAAAATCAGATTGGAACAAAATTCGGATTCTCAACACCAATATGGCTAAGGGACTTGACCAACGTTTCACAAAAAGCATTTCGAACGGGCAACTGCACACTCTTATCAACAGCTGTCTTCCCCGACTCTATATTGAAGATCAGATGGAGGGTGGGTCGCGCCACAACAAAATAGCAACAAGAAACTCTCAAAACCAACGAAACAACCGAAAATCCATTACTTGACAAAACATTTCGTAGGAAATGGAGATGGATTGGACACACTCTGAGAAGACCGTTGAGTGGCATCACAAGACAGGCCATCACTCGAGTGGAACCCGAATGTGAGATGACGAGTTCGGAGTTCGTTCGAGGGTGACATTGAGGGAGGAGATTGTGTGAGAAGGAGATGAGTGCTTATTGGCAATCGTGGGGCCGACTGGAGAGGACTGCAGAGACTCGGACAAAATGGAGATGTGCTGTTGAAGTCGTGTGTTCCACTAGGAACCCAAGAGAACAATAATACTAAGCAGTGTTTTCGAAATAGTTCTTCATAAACGTTAATGTCATCTGCTGGTATGACCTACTTCCAAATAAGCCTAAGTATTTATTTATTCATCCAATCACTGCCGTAGGTTGATTGACTCAGGGGTAACTCTGATCACAAGGTGATTAAGATCAGTTAGAGAATCACGGAAAACACTACGGTACTAGGCAGCTGTTCCATCCTATTTAGCTATTGCCTGACAGTCAGCCTGTATGACTAAATGTGGAGTCAAATTCATGCCTACAAGGTTACGCAATGAATACGGTACCATTGAAATTACAATTGAAAAGTGTTGTATGAAGACGAAACTGCTTTCCTAAGTACTTTATTTTTGCCAGGGATTCTGTAAACGACCTAACTTGTCCATTGAAACTCTTTCGAAACTTATTTATATCCCGTATACATTCTAAGTGAGTGAGCTTGTTCATTTCATTAGACTTGAATTTGTTTCTAAAAGTGTCGCATAAGAATAAATTGGAAAGAAAGTTCATGTCTTAGTAATTTTTTTTGATTATGTCATAATAAGACGCATTTTATCTGATATTTCGACAATCACGGCAATGAACTTAATGCATTGTAAGAGTTAATAAGAGTGAACTCACTTCCTGGAGTCATCCATATAACCTTCAATACATAGTCTTGTTTTTTGCTGTACTGCACTACTATCTGTTGACCAAATCTCTTCATCCACCTCAGAAAAAAACAGTTATACGATTATCCAAAATGTCATTTAGTAACACTAATACTGTTTCACTGTGATCTATTTAATAAACATACTAACTACAGTTAACATAGTTCTCGCTGGAATAAAGTAGACAGTGGATTTCATTTTTGAGTGCCACGTCTGTATGCTACTCATTACAAATAGGTAAGTAGTTGTTTCTAAACTTTACATTCTGTCGTTTACCCCAGCACATTCTCTGAAGACATTCTTCCCATATTACAATGTCAGGTATATCTTAAGTTTGACCGCGGATTGACATCAGTTAGAGAACCACTGAAAACCAGAACTGAAGTACTGGACAGCTGTTTCGTCCTAGTTTGGGACCAGTGGGGTAAAGCAGGTCGGGGGTGAGGACAAATACTCACCACCGATGACACTGTCTGGTGCCAGTCGCGCTAAAATCACCAACTGGGAGTTAGAATTCATGGACTGGTCACTGATTCGGATCTCAGTGGCTGAATGGTCTACGAACTCGCTTTGCAACTGGAAGGCCCTGAGTTCGAAACCTGTTGGTGGATGTGTACTTCTGATGGATCACAAACTAGGATGAAACAGCTGACCAGTACTCCAGTACTGGTTTTCAACAGTTCTTTGGCTGTTATCAATCCGTGATCAAACAAATAGCTACAGACTAACTCTTGGAAATATTTCCTGTGTAACGTAATATTTGAAATCCAATGAACAGTGAATGAAAACGCTGATAAATAAAGGTGAAATTCATGATGACATACAAGTTAAATGAGTAATTGTAACATATCCAATAATGGATGCCCCTTATCTCGATGTCTGCAGAGTGACATCTTCCACATTCTCGATGAATCTCTGTTTTTGTGATACTCATCACATAAAAAACTTGTTATAGTGTGGTGAGAGCTGGCTACTAGCCAAAATTGGTAGACAGTATTTTACGTCAATGTTTATGTCCCCAATATTGGTCGTGAGAAAAATAAGAACAAAGACTGATTCAATAACCAACCACAGCAGATTTTGCGTAGGCGGATTCAGTTGGCATATAGATGATCTGACATTCAAGAAACAGCCACAAAGAGATGAAAGATTAACTTTCAGTGAGAAACAACCAATCAGAAGACTGTGTTTTTCTGCAAACAATAATCTGTAATAATGTACATGAAAATCTATAAATATGTGTTGATTTCCTCAATAAACGATCTGTTACCTGGCCCTTGTCTTCTGTTGTTACAATAGTACTTAGACTTGAAATTTAACATTTCATTTTAGTAAACTTGTGACGTGTCTTACTGACAAGACGTATCAGTAGTATGTAGACAGACATTCGTCGGCACACAAAAATATCAAATAGCCTGATAGATAGATTTGACGTCTAAGAGGGCAAATGAACCACAGTTGCAGTAAAGCGTGGGAGAGATGAAAAAAAGACAAAGAAACACAACACGAAGGGCAGAAATAGTGTAACACGGTAGATCTGTGGAAATGACGACTTGCAGATAAGGTGACCAAAATTTACCTATACAGAGATATCGAATTCCAAATGAACATTCCATTGCCAAGTCTCCCGCCTTCTACCGTTACAAACTTAATGACATCTTTTTTTCACTGTGCCATATTCATCATAGTTGATACATTCTATAAGTTTGCACTGGAGTAAGTCAGACATCATATAGGCGGTACTGCGAAGTTACATCTCTATGGATGAGCAGAACAGGCTGCTCCACCAAGTTCACGTTTATTAATGAATCCAGTACACTGCTGTCCAAAGCTACGGAACTGCTTGGTGATAAAGCGGTTCTAAAGATTAGTGTAGACTGGACTTCGGATAATGATGCTGTAGGTGTTATCATGAGGAAAACACTGTTAATGCGTCCACTAATCCCGAGAGTATTGACTAATACATGTTCAAAATATCGAAGAAATTCAACGAAGTAACACCTACCTAAACTATAAACAGTGTCCTAGTTATTTACAAAATAGTGAGTGTTCCCTATCCTGCAGGACAGGTTAAAGATTATCTTGTCCGTACAATTTAGGACGGTAGCTGGACGGTAGTATTTTCTGGAATCTCTCTGTTGCTACTGGTGGAGACCTAAATAGATTTAATGAATGGTATGCACTCGTTTTGCCATTCTTATACCTGAAGGTTTCTTTCTTTATCAGTCATCCCTTCCAGAAATCCACTGGTGGGTCATTTATTTGTAGGAATTCTATGCCACGGATTGTTAAGTCTAGGTCAGAGATAGAGGTGATTCATGGAAGTCATCGCTCAAACCCGAGAAGGAGTTAATTTTTTCCCTGCTGCTTTCCACGTAATCTACGCTAGGCGCATGATGTGTTTGTATTTATTTGATTGTGCACCAAACTGACTGTAATACCAACAGAATAGTGCTATTGATTTGCTTGTCTATATCTGCTGTTTGACCAAGAACGTGTTCTATGAGATCTACCTCGGTTGCCCTGAGTTAGCCGCATTTGTCCCAGTGATTGCGTCAGCGATCTATGATTGAGTCGCTTTCAATAGTCATATTTTTCGCCTGCCCTTCTGTGAGTCACCTTTTCCTCCACTGTTCGATCTGCAATGTGTGTTAACTATTCAAGAGAAGAGTCAGCATCTTGGACATCCTGTGAAGCGTGATGAAGACTGATAGGAAGCGACCAAAACTGAAATCAACATTTTAAGTCGATAGCTGTAAAGGAAGAAGTTTTTATTCCTCAAATCTGGAGTAAGTTTACTTCGCGAACATGAAATAACCCCCACTGGACAACTGCCTTTAGCCTCTAACCAGTTGCCAACCAATCAGAACAATTTATTCTCTTCTAACCTAGCCGAACTTTAAAATAGCTAAGATTGTAGAAGTATGATGTGTTTTTCCTTAGTAAAAGTTCGTTCCCAACTCTCTTATCTCCTCCTGTTGCAAAACTAATACTACAACTGTTACAACTAATACTACCAATATATCACATCAAGAAGTGTTCCCAAACAGCCTTCCAGTGTTAAAGTAGTACGATTTTTAAAAATAAAAATAAACAACATAATTGCTAACTAGATATAAACCTGTTTTATATATTGTTATTTATAAATTATATATGTACAACAACGGGCAATTTTCTAGCTAAAAAATATTACAGCTAGCCTATATGTACGAAATAAACACTCAGAGAGAGGGAGAGAAAGAGATTAGTTCAAGTAGAGTAATGGGGAAATGAAATATCGAATTCCACGTGTCGATTCCTCTTGTCCTTGTTTCTCCTTGCTTGTTCGTTTGTTTATTTTCATTTTCAGACGCCTTTGGATTGTGGGAAAAAATTACTGTGAAGGGAGTTGTGCTGTGAGAGAGACAGAGAGAGTGAACAGGAGGGTTGGTGGGCGAAGGAACAAGGGAGCAGAGCCATAGTGAAACTGAATAAGGGGGAACTGAATGATTTCTAATATCCATCAGGGTCGTCATCACCGCGACATTATCTTTTGATTTGTCCAAATAAGACACCCTGATATAAAATATTTCCCATTTCCATTGTAACCACCATGGCATTTTGAGGTAATCCCATTGGAGCGCCTAAAAATAGTCGGAAAAAAGCAGTACTAAATATACGCTACTGACAAACAATTAAGTAATCTGTCGGCATTTTCAATCAAAAATGAAATAGTATAAAATATTATTCAGCAATAATAAAATTATAGGCGTCTAAAAATTCATATCTCTTAAACTTGTCTCATGAGATGTGTACTACAAAAAGGTGAGATGAAAAATGCTAATAAGTGATTGGAGAAACCTCTTTGTGATAAAGCATTTGGGAATAAACCCTTCAACACCAACACCAACAATAAGGAATTTAGATCATCAGTGGTACCCTGGAAACCTGACCTAGAATTCTTAAAAATATAGGAATAAAAGTAACTGGCATTCAAACCCACAAACTCAATTACAAACGAGCTTTGTCGGTTAAAAAATCCTGTGGAACAGAGCATTAAACAAAACAATTTAGTTTATCTAATACCCTGCCTATAATGATTGTCAGGTCAAATACATAGGTCAAAGTAGTAGAACGAGGTCAGTCAGACTAGCGGAGCAGTACAAAAACCTAGCAAAATTTAGATTAGTTGACCCGAATAAGATAAGAAATCTAGAGAATAGTCCAGCTATACTACTCACTACATGCAATTACACACAGCACAGCCATGAAATAGGATGGGATAAGATGACAGTTTTAAAATCTGATATAACAACAGGGTGGAGGGAGAGATGGATAACTGAAGCTTCATTTATCGAATCAACTGAATGAAAATATGTGTAACAGGAGTGATTCAACACCTGTCCACCCTGTCATCTGGGAAATTCTACTACTCCTAAAACGACGAATAGGAAAGAACAAAGAGAACTATAAAACTCAAGTTTAATAGTCGTGTGATTATAATTGATGTAATTATGGAAAACAAATGGTGTTCGAAACCTTGTTATCCAGTGAAAAATACTGCCGTTTCACGGTGTGATCAATCAAATAAACAAATTAATATAGAATTGCATACTACCACGGTGCCAAAGTTCTGCATATATATTAATAAACTCTTCAGTTATGAGGTTTAACAGTTGGTGAATTTTTCTAAGTAGGAAAGTACTGGTACATGAAGTTCATTTCAGAAACGTTTGTCCTATTATTGCTGTTTAATAGACGATTTGAATTACCAATAAGGACGGGGGATATCATTTCGCAGCTTCCCTGCAGTCGCTTGATAACTATCACGAATGGAAACAATAGAAACTGTTGGAGAGAGTTGTGGATTGGTGAACGTATGACGACGCAACAGGCAGCCGCAAACATTAGGCTACGTCTTGACTACATACAACCAGTCTCTGGATTACTATCTGAACATTCTACTAATAGAGTCAAAAAGTTCCTCTGCGAAACACTCCAAATTTCTGAGCACTCCATTACTGTTGAATGTGAATGAAGATCTACAGTTACAGCTGAATTTGTAGGCACAATGTGAGGTACAATTAATATAATATTTTTTTGATTACAGCTTGATGCCACACTGTATTTTCAGTACAAGTATGGAATTTTCAGCACGGATATCGGTAGCCCAAATTTTGCAGGCCGACCATAGATATCAGGTGTGCGTCGGCAGGGGATCGAACCCTGGACCGTGTGCATGGTCGACGAGTGTCCCAACCAATGTGCCAGCGTAATGCCAGACGACACGTCCAAAAGTTACAAAAACAATTCTGTATTGTTTAATTTCATTTTGTTCTTTTACGTCACGACTGGAACATAGGGCTTCAAGCTACAGCTTTGAAGTTTCGGTAGCAGTAGTTTTACTTTTATGGGGTGAGGTTGCCCAACCTTACCGCTCTTCTGGCTTAGAGAGGTTTATGAATGCGTTGGGCGAGGATTGAACCTCAGACTATATGCGTGGTTGGCGACCGTTCTACCGCTGAACCACTAACAGAACTAACCACCATTTTGGAGCTATAACTTTGGCTTATCGCCTCTGCAAATACATTTTTCTTTACTGAAATACCCGCCTTGATTATGGGTAGACAATTTTGCTATGACATTTGATGAAATCTTCAAAGTACCCATAAACCCTTAGAATTGTATGTATGTATGGTGATTTTTCAATAGATGTATCACTAGCAAAAATTTTAAAGACAACTGCAAAATAGACACTTCACTGCAGAAATGTAAGGAAATACAGATGCCATCACTGTTCCATTAATTTCACTAAGCAATTAAAATGTTCAAGAAGCCTAAGTGGATTTTCTTCTCCAGTTTCAAAGTCACAGAACTATGAAGTAAGACAATTTAAACTGTTAGTTCATCATCGAATTCCATCTACAGTCATTACTGCAACAGACTGAAGGGGAAGTACGAAATGAAATTATCACGAATTATTAAAGGTGCCGACTATAAAGCAATCCACCATTCCCTCCTGTTCAGTACAGCTTGTATGTCTCCTGACAACTGTTGTTTTGTTGATGATTAAAACTGGTGTTTGCTTTCGAAAGCAACCATCAGAAATAGCTAACTACATGTGGATGAACAACCTGGAAGAATCAATGTAAAATACACGGAGAAATGCAACGACTACAGCTGAAACATCGATGGTTATTTAAGTTCAACAGAGAAAAGCCTAACCCATTGGTCAAAATCTCAGTGAAGTAGTAAAGATATTTTTTAGTTAAAACAAGAAGAACACTTATAGATAAAATTGTTGGGAAATGTATTTATTCAACACTCTTTAGAGTTAACGGTCTCTCCTCGCTGTTTTTCATTACCTCAAAGAATCACTACTGCACAATAACAACAACAACTTCATACAGTGAAGTTCTTTACGAATTGCTATATTGATATACAGGGGTGGGGGAAATACCACACCTTACTAAAAGTTTCAAAGAATCAAAAGTTTTGACTAATTAAAACGGAATTGTACTGAACTTGACAAAATTTAATGAACCAAAATCTACGCTGTCCCCTAGTATTAAATGATCAGTTATAACAATCAATGGGTTGCGTTCCACTATAAGTGATACACATCACTCACAGATATATATATCCAGATGACAAGTGCCAAAATGAGATAGAACATACGAGCTGAAAAGCCTTCTGGTGCTATCGACCAAGAATCTAATATCACATAAATTCCAAGAAAAGAAAGCCAAAAAGTTGACAAAAGAAGCATAAAAGACAGAACTTTAAATGAATGCAGAGGAGACGGAGGTGATGAAGATAACGAACAAACAACAACAGAAACAAACACCAATGACTATCGACGGAAGAAATTCGAAAAAGATGACTTCTTTCACTAATCTGGCCAGACAGCATCGTTTCAACTACAGCCAATGACAGCATAGATGACGATGTCTAAACCAACCAGTATCCGAAAGATAAGACAGACCTTCATCGCACTCTAAACTCAAATTGGAACAAAATTCGGATTCTCAACACCAATATCGTTAAGGGACTTGACCAACGTTTCAAAAAAAGCATTTCAAAAGGGCAACTGCAGACTCTTACCAACAGCTGTCTTCACCAACTGTATAGTGAAGATCAGATAGCGGGTCGGCCAGTAAGAAAAAACTAGCAACAAGAAACTCTGAGAACGAACCAACCAATCGAAAATCTACTGCTCAACAAATATTTTGTAGGAAATAGAGATGGATTGGACACACTCTGAGAAGACCGTTGAGTGGCATCACAAGACAGGCCATCACTCGAGTGGAACCCAAATGTGAGAATACGAGTTCGGAGTTCGTTCGAGGGTGACACTGAGGGAGGAGATTGTGTGAGGAGGAGATGAGTTCTTATTGGCAATGGTGGGGCCGACTGGAGATTACTGCAGAGAACCGGACAAAATGGAGATGTGCAGTTGAAGCCGTATGTTCCAGTAGGAACGCAAAGGATTAATAATAATGATGATAATAATAAATAATTCACAGTTGAACCAAAAACTGAATTTACAACTTTTTTCAAAAATGTTTACCCTGTTGTTGTTGTTATTATTATTACTAAGTTTGTTCTTTGTTCACTACTGTGCCTTTTGTGCTCTATTCCCCCGCCCCCTCCGGCCTGACTGTAGCACACCACAATTTATGTGACGATCACAAATAACACTAACATGTATTTCGTTGTTATTATTAGTTGGTATTGCCATTACTATTATTATTACTATCATCATCATCATCACTATTAATTTTCCTTATCATCATAATTTATAGTTAATATTTACAAAAAATTTACAAGATAAATGCTCCAATAGATTATCATTATTATTATTATTAATAATAATAACTCGGTATTACCAGGTATTTATTAACACTCTAGAGTGAATGTCTTTCAACAAAGAATAACTAACATATTTATCATTGTGTAAATATTGTTACAACAACAACAACAGCAATAATAACCCTAGAAATCTAATCTCTCTCTCAATTACCGCCCCAATTCTTATTAACTACCTATACATAAAGTATATACCCACAAACAACTACAAACACATAGTAGATATATCTATGTGACACAAATTTAGCCTAATTATAAGAAATACTTTTACGCTTTATATATACCACTACAACTACTTTTATGTTCATTGTTTGATTAACTCTCATATCCACTTTTTTGGTCAAATCTACACATTTTCTAAATGTATATCATCCAGAGGCTAAGATGAATTATTGTTGTATGTGTGTGTGTGTGAGTGTGAGTGTGTAAGTGTGTGTTGAAATGACTTCCTAATTGTAATAAATTGCACATTTATCAAATGATAGTTTACTTAATAATAATAATAATAATAATAATAATAATAATAATAATAATAATACGGATATTAGTTAGTAAGTAAGTATAAAGGAGTTATTGTATAAAAAGAAGTTAAACGATTGATGTGTTTAATTTTGTATTTCTCTGAAAGTAAATGACTAACGGTCATTTTCTCTCCTTCTCTCCTTCACGAATGCCTATTTCTATCACTCACTCTTAGCCTACATACTTGGAGTGTTTTCTTTCGGTATTCACATTCAATAGAAGATGTCATCAATTTATCTTTATTGCTTGTGTA